TAAGGCATTACTCTTCCGCCAACCCGATAAATTCGGTAATCCGGTAAAACTGTCGAAACGGTCGTAAATCTGGCCGCAAAGCAGCACGGTCAATTATATTAAATACAACGGGCACGCTTGTTTCGAGAGTGTGTAACCGCAAGCAGAAGCAGAGGTTCACGGTTTCAGGTTCTAGGTCAGGCTACGTCGTGGCCGGGGCACGTAACAGCGGCAAGAACAGGGGGCCCAAGTAAAACGGTGGGAGCGCAAGAGGCGCATTTAATGGTCGTACGCCGCCACGGCTGTTATTATCATCCATTTCTGCATTCTATCGGCGATCACATGCACCGCGAGTCGAGTCCATGATTCGTTCGTTCGCTCTCATCTCGGGAATCCAACCAGAGGGGACAGTGAGAGAAGGGGAGAATGGAAGGAAAGAATGGAAAGAGCTGTGCACGGTCCTCTCGATCACCATATCAGATGATTTAGGGAACGCGTTAGGATTACGTGTCTCAAGCGACACGAGTTTCGCCGTTTCCTACGGCGATCCATGCAATCGTGTGATCGCGTTACATCCCAAGGATACGCCATCGCGTCTAAATATATATACACGCGAGACATGGTGCGTATAATAAGGCGTGGGTACGTAATCGATGAGCCGCGCATACATCGAAGATATGTTCGATAACGGAGGGCTGAATCGAGTTCTCAACCCTTTTTCCATCGTTTCCAATGGATAGAAACGGAATTCGTTGATCGTCGCTTCGTGGAATTGACAAAGGTGAAGGAACGTCGCGTTGGTCATTTCATTGTACAGGAAAAATTCGTTCGAGCGAGTTACGATGTTATATAGATTCGTAGAAGGTGTATATATGAAGATTTTTCATTTCAAGTTTCGACGCGTGACGATAAGGAACGTAAGGGCGTACGTGCGGTAAGTGAGGATCACTGTTGACCAAATGATCTCAGACTCGGAGAAGACTGCCCGGATGCTAACTGAATTATAGCTCTGAACGGTGAATCGGAAAAAAGTGTGCAAGGCCGTTCGACCCTTTCGTAGTACAAAGTCGCTTGACCACTTTGCGCGGATTTAATTGGATTCTTTAGAAAACGGGCGGAATCGTGGATATAAATCCTATAAATAATCGGGGATTCATATTCCCTGCATGGTGTAACCGCGCATGGTGCTCGTAAATCGTGCGGAAAGATGGGATAAATGAACGGGAACGAAGTTTCTTGTCAAGAAATTGCATCACTCGGGGGCATGGAGTTGATATTGGAGAGAATATTGCCGAAGAAACGAAGATTTTTCGACGACATTTAACGCAGATGTTGTAACGTGGTATAGACGGCGGACAGATATATGACGTGGGTAGAGGCAGAAAGTGATGAGGATCACTGTCCTAGAAATGGAATATCGAAATGGAAGAATCGACGGCGTAGAAGGGTCGGGGGTGGGGGCAATATGGCGCCTTCGATCGTCTCGAACGTGGAGGCTATTCGCGGGCTAAAACGGAGAGTTGGTTCCATGCCCGTGGAACGAATGAACGAAAGAGAAAGAGAACCTCGGGTGAAAAGGGACGAGGGTTAAGCGGCGAAGAAGAGAGGAGCGCTCCTTAGGGAGTGGAGAGAGAGATAGAAAGAAGAGGGGCCTTACATAGCGATTGCTGGCAGGGCCTGAAATAGACCTCGAGAATCCCCCTGTAGCATCCTCGCCTCTCTTTCTTCGCCTCCTCCACCACCATCCTCCTCCTCCTCCTCTTCCTCCTCTTTCCACTCCTTCTCNNTCTTCTTCTTCTTCTTCTTCTTCTTCTTCTTCTTCTTCGTCTTCTTCTTCTTCTTCTTCTTCTGCTTCTTCGTCCAACAGCAAGCATTGCCTCCAGCTCTCGAGAGCCTTCCTTCTCTTTGCTTTTGTTTTTCGCAAAAAAGGACCAAGTGGCTTGGCTCGGCTGTGAGAAGTTGTTCCTAGCGTCTCGTTCACGCAGATAGGGCCAACGCGAAGGTGGGACGGAGAAGAAGACGAAGAAGGTGGTGGAGGATCGGTTGTTTATCCAGGATCGAGCTTCTGCTTTCGTTTCACCCACCGATATATGGCCACGAACGGAGAGACCCCCGTAGGCATTGCCGGACCTAAGTGCACTCTCTCGGCTTGCATTCCCATGGGAATACGCCGTTCAGAGAATCCGACCTGTTAAACTGACCTGCGCCAATGTACCAGCAAAACGTGACCCACGCAACCAAGCTACGAGCACGCCTCGAACATACTAGATTCGAATGCATCGCCTGTTTTTTATCCCGAGGGCAGCCACCCACCCTTCTTTTCTTTCTCTCTTTTTCCAAATCCCGCGAAAGCCTGTCTCGTTTGTTAACGAACCGCCTTGTCGTAGTAAATTCGAAACTCGCGCGCTTCGAAGAGATAGAAAATTGTCTCGCGAGAGATTCGATACGACGATATGTACGAACGGATGTACCGCGTCACATTTGATAAATTCGTTAAACGGGAGAATTCTTCGCTCAAACTTTGTTATTTACATTCTATTGTAGAGGAAAAATTGGACAAATGCAAGAAAAAAACTTATCGGCAAAGTTGTTTGTGAACGGGGAACTTACGAGACTCTTTACGTAACGAAAGGTTTAAAAGTAACGAGGTACTCGTAAAGTAATTTAAAGGGCAAAGGTGGGAAAGGGACGAGAGTAATTAGAGAGGAGCTCACGCTAAAGATGGATATTTTTAGTAGGTTGTGTAAATTTAACTGCGTAATTACTCATATTTCTATATACGATCGAGAGCCGGCATTGGCCTCCCTCGTGATAAAGCACGCCACGATATTCTTCTTCTACCTGACGCAACCGTATCGCGGGGAACCTTTAAATAGATCGTGGTATACGGCTCGTTATAAACGTAGTGAATTCGTTTAGCGTGGCAGATCGTGGCGCTTTCGTGCGAGGCAAGGAGACGAGAAGAGGAACGGCGATCGAAAGGGACGCGGTAGGTCTCGGATGTCACGCGAGTCCCTTTTTGTTGGACTGGTCGCACACCGCGTAACAGAAATAACACGTCGCCATATAATGAACACCGATCCGCCAATGGTTACAGGATATCGAATCGATCGGACACGGCCCGGACAAAGAACAGCTAGTGGAAAAGAAAAGAGGAGAGAAGGAAGAAGAGGAAGAAGAAGATGAAGAAGAAGAAGGAGAAGAAGATTCCTTTACTGGCATTTCGCGTTGGATTCTTCTTCTTCTTCTGGTACCGGTTGCGTATCGTAATCGAAGTAACTGGGCCTCGGACGGGCACGGACAATAACCACGTATTCCGCAGAAGCAGGTGATCTCTCGCGCGAGAGTAGAGGACAGGACGTTCAGAAATCAAGCCTACCTTGAGAGACGAATCTTTTTGCCTTGCACCGCGCCGCTGACAAGACACGATCCTATATATATATATATATATATACATACGAGAAATCTCTTCCAGAGATATCGCCTCCCGTTTTAAAGAGTTAATATCTGTTCGATGCATTAAGACGAGGCTGCCGAGAGATTCTCATAAGGATCTCGAACGTTTCGTTCCTATCTACCTCGGTCGGGTCGTGGTATATATCTCGTAATAGGCTCTCCATGACGCGTCGATCGAGGTAATTAAGGTGGCGTACGTTCCGCGAAACATGTGGACGCTTTTAAAATGATATCCACCTCTATTTCTCGTGACCGTAGGTGCGCATTAAACTGGTTAAAAATAGAACCGAAGCGTATTTGAAAGCGTATTGTGAAGCGATTACGAGTTTTTTCATTATACGATACGAGGAGATACCACCATCCTCCCCTCCTCCCCTTACTCCCCTCCCTTAATGGGGGCCGGTCAATGTCGGTGCAGAAAAAACTAAGCGCGGAAAGAGCGAGGAATAAGAATAGACGGCGCCAAAGGCTTAACAAGGAAACCGGTTCAAAACCTCCTGCGCCTGTGTACCGACTTTCATGAGAGATTCCAACGAGTCACTTCGACCACCGTGTGCAATATATTGGACGTGAGTATGATTCCCGTAATACCTTCGACTACGATCGCAACCGTGCGTTCCCTTCGTCGAGCAATTAGCTATTTCTACGTCACGTCAAGAGGTATTCGCCAAGTTGGAACGAACGTTGAATCTTGACCTCTTCCCCGGAGAAGGAGGAGGAGGAGGAGGAAGAGGAGAGTCGAGAGAGAGAGAGAGAGAGAGAGAGAGAGAGAGAAATTCGACGAAGAAGGAGCATGTATGTATTTCGAAGTAGGAAACGTTCGCGGCCAATTTGAACGGCGTCTCTCAAAGCCGCAATTTACGTCCATCGGCGACAAGCGGCAGATACGATAATATCGTTAATGCATCCGATGGTCGGAATAGAAAATGGTGATTTTAAGGGATGGTATGCGGCGCGTTCTCGCCAGCCACGCTCAGAAATGAAGTCTACCTTGAGGTCGGTGTCTTTTTTGCGCCTACCCGTCGATACAATTCCATTCAGGACGATGAAGACCGTGAAAAGACACCAAAGAGAAATTCCATCCATTGCGACCGTCAGCGGTAAAACAAACTAAACGATGGAACAACGTTATTAATAGCGTGTACCGCCACTCGCAAATAGATCGGGGCGCCGAGTTCAGCAACGAACCATCCCGACCGCTGTCTGCTTTCACGCTTCATTTTCCGTTTCCAATACTTCTCAAATCCAATCCCATAATTCTTGCCCCAATCTTAATCCAATCTTATTCCAATCTTATTCCAATCTTTTGCTTCGTTGTATATACGAATACACTTTGGCGCGAAAAGAAAAAGAAAAAGAAAAAGAAAAAGAAAAAGAAAAATTTTTATTATTCGCGTTTGCTCGATTCTCGTTAAAACGAAGCATCCGGTTCGCCAAGAATCTCTGCTCGATAAGGAAAAAGGAAGATGGGGAGAGATAGAGAGAGAGAGAGAGAGAGAGAGACAGAGAGCGCACGTTGGTACGCTCGCAAGTGTATGGTGAAAAGTTGGCCGAGAGAGTAAAGTTCGCGAGGGGAAGGAAGGAAGGAGAGTACGGGCGCGAGAAGCCGTGTCAACGAACGCACCGCATCATCCTCTCTAACCCTCCGGCAGCGCGAGGGTCTATTGTGGCTAGTTTTTTCTCTGACCTTGTCACCTTGCAGGTTTTTTGCCGCGGCCAAGTCGATTACATTTCGGATCGGTTCCTCCGTATCCCCCGTCCACGTCTCGCGCTATCCCGCTCTCTCGTGCCCGCTCGTCCCTTCGTGGGCTCCGCTCGTCCTGCTCTAGGTTAGTCAGTGAATCATCTTCAACGACCCCCTCCTCTGGGATCCGGGCAGAAGACTCTTAAGGGGGCCCACAGCGCAGCGCGAGGCCAGTCCGAGAACGCGACCCTAACACTAACATCCGGTGTATTCCGAGAGTCGGAAACGGAAACGGCTGCTTGATCGATTAATCGACACACGCCACCATGAAGATCGCTCTGCTGCTGCTGCTGCTCGTCGCGGCCTTCGCCTCAGGTTCGTAACTTTATCGATTATCAATTATCCTTTCGTTTCTCCAATATTATTTCTCTCTCAAAAATTCCCATTTTTTCCAAAGATCGATAATCTGCACTTGTTGCAATTTAGTTTAGTTAGGGTGTATTGGCATCGAGTCCGTTCTATTATGTCGAATTATGCTTTTTCTTTTTTTTTTTTTTTTTTTTTTTTTTTTTGGATTTAGAATTAGACTATTCTCGCATCTTCTCTCGATAATTGATTCGACAAGGATGGATTGGTTGGAACAGTGCCAAGCGAGAATTCTTTCTTTTTTCGAGGCTCGAGAATTCGCGTTGATTCGTTTTTCGAACGAGTCTTCTTTGTTCGTCGACGCTTCTCGTCCTCGCATTCTCGTTTCCTTGGTGGAAACGTCGACGTACGACGTCCGGTGCATTCAAAAGGGAACTCGCGGTCGCTGATCACGCACGCATGACTTCAAGATCATTCGCCCGTCGTTCTCGATCATTTTTTCTTCGGTTATCTGATATCACATTCTCTCGCGTTTAAAACCGGATATAATAAAAATGCATATTTTAATGAAAAATAGAATCGTTCGATTATCGGTCACGTTTTCGAATATTTTGTAGATGTTTCGATACGTCGAAATTTTTATTCGAGAAATTTTTATACGGCCGATACGAACCGCCATCGAGCTGCTCGCCAACATTGCCACGTTAATTACGATGCAAGTGGCGTAATTCGTGAATGGAATCGCGTCTCGTAGCAAGCGTCTTCTTTCTACAGAACGTTGGCGGCAGACGTCTCAAGGTCTTCAGGTCGTTTACCACCACCTGCGCCGCCGGCTTCACAAACCGGAGCATTTTTACGCACCCTTTGAATCTCTCGTGCGTCAAACCACTTCAAATTATCTGTCTATGCTTTTCATTCCACCGTTCTTCTTCCATTTGAAAATTTATTTATTTATCTATCTATTTATTTATTTATTTTTTTGCTTCATCTTATTTAAAATCATACAAAAAAATTCTCAAATATTTAGAGAATCGATTTATCAACGGATCGAAATGTAAATCTGATTTCAATGCCATTTTTTTTCAAGAGGCACGAAACGAAATTTCTAGATTTTTAATAAATAAAACGATCACTCGTGTCGAGACTGTTCGGAAGCCTAAACCGGTCACAACTTAAAAGTACAGTTAACCAAATAATCGTAAAAAGTCAATGAACTCGCACGGTGAGTATCGTGCGAAACGGCACTTCCAACAAAGTACGGAGTCACTCTGTGAAGTTAATTAAAACGAACGGTACCGATGATGTGTAAATACTTTACACGTTCATAGATGAATTAAAATCGCGTTGAAATGATTTACTACGACTGTCAATTAAGCCGAGCACAATCGAGCGTTACACAATATAACACTCCGATCTTGTTTACGATTCTTTTATTATCGCGATTATTAGCGCGATTATTATCGTGAAATTTAATTAAAAAGGAAAGAAAGGAAGCGCTGGAATACAATGGAAATTAGTAGATCCGACGGCTTTAAAAATCATCGAAAAGCCATAGAATTCCAATGTGAACGTACGTTCGGATGCATTTTTCTTCCGTTTTCGTTTGCGTCTACGAATTAACGAATAGTTAAAAAATATTCATAGGCAGACATAACGGTCTGGCCGCGATGACGCTAAACTGGGACATCGGGTAGATTAGAATTCACGGGATGATTTTTCCCGCGTCCTGAGGCTGCCATTTGTGGTCTGGTCGGAAGTCAATGGCGGAGACGTGCCTCGATGAGATAATACGAGAGCAAGAAAAGGGAATTTCCTTTTTTATTCATCAATTCACGCTGATGTATAACTTTTTAGCATTTAAATTGTAGGAAATATGTTGATTAAAAAAAAAAAAAATGGATGGAATATATGAATACTTAATTTCGAATTTATTCAAATAAATTCATTCCAATTCATCTATTTTATCTTATTGCATAAAAATGGAGATCGTTTAGAGATGTTAGAGAATTAAACCTTCTGTTATTTTTATGATTTGAAATTCTTTGAAACCTGATAAAAATAATTTGTGTAATATATATTTCCCTAAAGCAATATTTTTACTATTGCTTCATTAAAACTTTTTAAAAGAATATTTGCAATTTACTATTTAAAAAAATTCGAGATCTCGACTCGATTTTTCTGAATCTTAAAAATTCAATTTCAATCCAATGTTTGAAAAAGAAAAAAAATTAGAAACATCAGAAATTTTTGGACAGGACATCGCCTGTATTCGTCTGACGAGTAATCGTAAATTAAATAAAATTGATTTACAGGCCAAAGGATCACGACGATTCAATTGGATGGCGTGCAATACTTCGTTTCAAGGATGAATCCCTACAGTCCCGAATTGAACTATTTCCTGGCATATCAATATTGTCGTTCACTGGGTCTTCAGTTGGCCTCTTTCGAGACAAAGGAAAAAGCCGACACGATGACGCAGTACTTGAAAAACGCCGGCTACGTTAAATACGACTTCTGGACGTCCGGCAACAAGTTGGGCACGGACATGTTCCTGTGGATGAGCACAGGTCTTCCCTTCAATGCCACCTTCGACTACATGTTGAGGCGACCTGGCAACAGACCTGCTGACGTCCCACCCGGCACTGAGCCTCAACGAGTGGCGCGTGAAAGGTAATAATTAATATGCTCTTATTAATTCCTTCATAATAAAATTCATATCGTATAATTGTAAACCATATTCCATCATATTAGGTCGTCTCTTTTTCACGTTTTTTTTATTATTATATACTTTTATGACTTTTTTCTTTCGGAACGTTAATTAAATATTTACAAATTTCCAATTTTACTGAAACTTTCGCTATTTCGTCGCGTTCCAAAATATCTTTGACTTATTTTCGAAATTAATTCAAACAATTTCTGGAATGGAAATTCATCCAATATAATGAACTATCTTTCTACTCTCGATATAACCACGCGTGCGTGCGATTGAAAAAAAGAAAAGAATTTTCTTCCGTGTCTTTTTCTTTCCTTCGTTAAAAAAAAAAGAAAAAAAAATATCTCATCAAAACCGGAAACCGCACAGAGAAAAAAGACACAAAGAGAGCGGGAAAGGAATGAAACGTCACGTATTTGTCTATCTGGAAGTCTATCTAGACAGGTAGAAAAGCCATAGCGAACCTTGTTCGCCGATGAGGAAGACGACGAGGCCCAAGATCAATTCGTGGTCACGAATACGATAATTGTCGGTATCCCTTCCGCATCCGTATGCTCGTATCCCTACCCGGAAACGCGTGCATCGAATCGATAAACGAGCGGAGAACGATTGAAATTCTAATCCCGGAATTTGTCCTTTCCACAAGCGGTGACAGCGGGAGCGCGGACGGATGCGTCGCCATGGTGGCACCCACGTTAGCCTGGGAGGCGCAAGATTGTACCCTGGTTAAGGACTTTATCTGCGAGCAAACAAGATGCTACTACTACAACTACGGAAGCATTCCAGTCTCTGCGACTCAGGGGTAAGAGGTGAGATAATACTTGTTACAAAAAAATACGCGAAATCGCCGAGAAAAAGGGGGAAAGAAATAGAGAGAGAGAGAGAAAAAGAGAGAGAGGGGGGAAAATGAGATAGGCAGATAGACAGGCTATTGTCAGAAGACATTTCGTTTCATCAAGGTGTAGCAAGGTGAATCTCAAGATGGCGCACGGACAAAAAAATAAAGAATGATAGATAAGATAGAAAAGACACGATGATCGGTGATAATTCATTCGCGATTCTTAATACTAGCTATATCTCGAGTGCAAATCATGTGATATTTTTGTCAATCGTGTAAATTTATCGATTCAACGATTCGACGATTAATTAATGGATCGTCGAAAGAAAGGATGGATTAACGCGTTGACAAGTTTTTTTCTCCGTGCAGTATACACGATTTAACGAAACAAACTGATATAAATAACGCTTCGCTGAATAATTTAATCCGTACAAGCGAAAGATATAAGATAAATTGGTAATTGGGGAAATCTCTTGGTGTCGTTCGAACGTAACTGCTTATCGCTCGTTTCGCGAAGCACACGAGAACACGGCTTACAATTATTATTAACGCATTCTTTTGCTCCTCGCAAACTATATACACGCGTACATGAAAAATCTACTACGATTCCAATTTTCTTTTTCAAAATCGATCATCACTTATCACGTACCTCTCTGAGCTGAGCCAGTGGTGCCACACTTTTTCTCTGCTTTTAATATAGCCGACTAACTAATCGCTAACTAATCCACGCTATAGGAAACACGACTAACGAGTTTCTCCAATCTGAATAACGAACCTCTTTAATCCTATTCGCTTCGTCCCCGGACGAGGCGAGGCGACGACGAATCTCCCCTGAAACCAGTGCGCGATTTGCAGAAATCGCAGACCCTATATAACAACGACGTCTGCGCCAGCCAGCGACGACCAGGTCGACGAGCACGAGGAAGGCAACGCCGGCAAGAACGACGAGCAAAATCAGAGTAACGTCGACGAGAAATCAACACCGGAGGAGGAGGAGGAGGAGCAGCAGAGCAGCTCCTTCGAGGAGAAATCGCCTGAAGATCCGGTCGTCAGCAGGCTTATTACCACGGCCGTTCCCGCGTCTGANAAGCAACAAGCCGCATTGGCACCGTCCACGCCCTCGCCCGCCGTCACCGAGGATCACGAGCGACCGACCGACGCCGATCTCGACAACGCAAGGCCCGAGCATCTTCTCGACATCACGAGCCTCTTCACCGACACGCCAGGCCCCCAGGCCAGAA